TTTTATTGTAATATAATGTCCTTCTTTGTCTCTTGTAACAGTTTTTAACTTAAAGTCTGTTTTGTCTGACATTAGTATAGCCACCCCTACTCTCTTTTGGTTATTCATTTGTATCAAATATCTTTTTTCATCCTTTCACTTTCAATCTATGTGTGTCCTTAGAGAGAAAGGTAGTCTCCTGTAGAAAACATATAGATGCGTCCTGAGTATTGTATCCATTCTGACAATATATGTCTTTTGATTGAGGAATTTAATCTATTTACATTTGAAATAATTACTGACAGAAAAGGACTTACTATTGCCATTTTGTTATTTTTTGTATGTCTTCTAGGTTTTTTTCTTCTCTCATTTCCCTCTTTACTACCTTCCTTTGTGTTTAGTTGGTTTTTTTTTAAAACGACATATTTTTATTTCCTTTTACATATATTCCATAGCTATTTTCTTTGGGGTTACCATGGGGATTACATATAACATCTCAAAGTTATAGTAACCTATTTTAAACTGATATGAACTTAACTTTAATTGCATACAAAAATTCTGCTTCTTTACAACTCCACCCACCCATTTATGTTATTGATGTCACAATTTACATCTTTATATACTGTGTAACCATTAATATAGATTCATAATTATTTTTATGCTTTTCTCTTTAAATCCTGTAAAAGAATAAGAGGTGGAGTTTTAATACTGGTTTTTATATTTGTCCAGGTATTTACCTTTGCTGGAGAACATTATATTTTCATATGGCTTCAGGTTACTGTCTAATGTCCTTTTGTTTAAACTTGAAGGACCTTGCTTTGGTATTTCATGTAGAGCAGGCCTAATGGTAATGAACTCCCTGAGCTTTTCTTTGTCTGGAAATATTTTAATTTCTCCCTCATTTTTTGAAGGACAATTTTGCTAGTTGCAGAATTCTTGGTTAACAGGGTTTTTTCTTTCAACTTTAAGTATATTATCTCACTCCTCTCTGTTCTGCAAGGTTTCTGCTGAAATCTTTCTGTTGAAAATTTCTCAACAGAAATCCACTGATAATATTATTGAGGGTCCCTTAAACATGATGAGTTGCTTTTCTTTTGATGCTTTCAAGATTCTCTTTGTCTTTAGTTTTCAACAGTTCAAGTATGATGTGTCTTGGTGTGGATCTCTTTGGGTTTATCATACTTGGAGTTCATTGAGCTGTTTGCATTTGTATTTACTTGTCTTTCCCCAGATTTGGGTTTTACCACCATTATTTCTTCAAATAAGCTCATTGTTTCATTCTCTCTGTATTCAACGTCTGGGATGCCCCTAATGTATTTATTGTTCTGCTTCATGGTATCCCATAAGTCCCTTATACTCTGTTCATTTTTCTTTATTCTTTCTTCTTTTTGCTCTTCAGAATCCATATTTTTAAATGATCTGCCTTCATGTTTGCCTGTTCTTTTTTTCTGCCTGTTTTAGTCTTTTGTTGCTTTCCTTCAGTGAATTTTTCAATTCAGTTATTGTATTTTTCAGCTCTAATTTATTTTGGGTTCTTTTTTTTTATAATTTCTAATTCTTTGTTGATATTTTGTTTATGTAATGTCTTCCTGATTTTTAGTTCTCTCCATGTTTTCCTTTAGCTCTTTGAGGATATTTAGACCATTATTTTAAAATTGTTGATAGTTCAAAGCTCATATAACTTTAGGACAATTTATTGATTTATTTTGTTCCTTTTAATGAGCTGTCTTTCTCTGTTTCTTTGTATGCCTTTTGGTAAAAATTGTGAATTTGAAACAACAGCCAACTCTCCTAGCCTTTGTGCCCTGGCTCCATGCAGAAGATCCTCACTAATCATTCCCATGTGAAAGCTTAAGGTCTTCTCAAGTCTTTTTTGAGTACACATCTTTTCCTGGGCCTGTGTGTGTGAGTGTGTGTATGCACGCACATGTGTGCATTTTCCCCAATTCCTCTCATATACATGGCTGCTTTTAAATATCTTAATTTCCCTAAGAGACTCACCCCTGCTTATTCTTGGAGCCTTAGATGTTCTGTTGTATTTCTCTATCCATAATCTCTTGCACCTATGTATTTATGGGTTCCTGGTCCCCCCCGTAGTTCTTATGCACCACAGTGCCCATCACTGCTTTCAGTAGTCTCCAACCTACTGTTCAAACTATGCCTTCAGTTCTATCTGAAGTCTGAATCAAGCAGGACAGAAAGTCTCCCAGGAAGCCCCCATACAGGCCAGAACATTGCAAGCAAACTCCACTCTTTTTCTTCTGTCCTAAGGGAGGACCCAAGAATCAGGCAGCTTTCTCCCATCCATGCCACATCAGAGAAGAGGTGGGGCAAAGGTAAACAAAAACACCATGAGATTTTCTACCATTTTGAGTTTGGCTTTTTCTTGATTTGATACTCACTTGGTGGATGCAAATCCTTGACTAGTTTCTAGATCCCCCACAAAGCTATTTTAGTCTGTTATTAGTGTTTCCACAGGACAAGAAGAGCCTATATCAACTATTGATATATTTCTGTAAATATGCTATTTTATTTTACAGTAAATAATGTCATTTTCTCTTTAAATAATATGACTATGCCTTAAGAGATGCTGCTGTTGTTCTTGAAGCAAGTAGTTGATCATGCAGAATTGAAGGGATAGAGAAAATGGCATAGTTCTGATTAAAATTGGGAACAGAAAATAGGACCAGAAAAGAACATGAGGGACAAATATTTGTAAGTAAATTTGACATTTTAAGGTGAACTTCTCCAAACCTGTTAGAAGGCTACTGGAAAATTCTAGGTTTGACATCAGAAAATCTATGAAATGCCTTTTTGTTTGTGGTGGTTGGGGGGCCTAGTACAAATCTAATCTCTAACTCCAATTTAAAAGATACAGTTAAAATTTCACAGTCATATTTGAATATGCCTTATTTTTTAAATTGGCTTTCAGAACTTTCTCATAGTTTTCTGAGAAATGCCCAGTTATAAGGTCTCTGTCTAAAGTAGGAAAGTAATTTTCCCACCCTTGGGTGTTTTAATGTAGGGAAGAGACTAGCCTTGATGTTCTCTTTTCTTTTCTTGGCCAGTTTGCCTATTGGCTATGCCAATACCACATTGACCTAATTTCTATAGCATCATCCTTTATACTGTAGTCCTGATGTCTGTTCTTCAAAATTGTCTTGGCTCTTCTTGCACTTGCACTTTTATATTAATTTTAATTTTATATTAATTTTAGGAATTTTTCATAGGGAATTTCCATTGGGATTTTCTTAGCATTCCATTACAAGTATAGATTAATTTGAGGCTGTATAAAATTATTTTAATGTTAAGTTTTCCTGTCCATATATATTTTTTCCATTTATTTAAGTACTCTTTAATGTCCTCAGATGATATTTTGTCATTTTCTCCAGAAAGGTCATAAAAAAACTTTGTGGAATTTTTTTTTAAGGGTACCTTATATTTTTCCTGCTATTATAAATGTCATATTTTATTAAATTGTATTTTATGGGCTGGCCCGGTGGAGCACTCGGTAGAGTGCGGTGCTTAGGAGTGCGGCGGTGCTCCCGCCGAGGGTTCGGATCCCATATAGAGACCAGTCCACTCACTGGTTGAGCGCGGTGCGGGCGCAACACCGAGGGTTGCGATCCTGTTGCCGGTCGCGGTACAGGTGCGACACCGAGGGTTGCGATCCCGTTGCCGGTCGCGGTACAGGTGCGACACCGAGGGTTGCGATCCCATTACCGGTCACGAGAAAAGACAAAAAGGAAAAAAAAATTGTATTTTATGACTTGTTTTATAGAGTTTAAGAACACAATTGATTTTCATGAATCAATCATAAATTTTAATTAGTTTTAATTACTTATCTGTTAATTCTTTCAGGTTTTCTAGGAATAATCTTTGAATAATAACAATTCTGTTCCTTCTTTCATGATATGATAATTTTTATTTGTTTTTCTTTTAATATTGTGCCAGTGGGAACTCTAGTACAATGTCAAATAGAAACAGCAGTACTGGACATTCTTCTCTTTTGCTGATTTTAAAGAGATAGCTTCTGATGTTTCATCATTAAGTGTGAAATGTGTTATAGTTTTTGGTACCTAACCTTTTTTGTTGGTTTGGAAGTCCCTTCTATTTCTTTTTTTTTTTTTCCTTTTTGTCTTTTTTCGTGACTGGCAACGGATCGCAACCCTCAGTGTCGCGCCTGTACCGGACCAGGACCGGCTACGGGGTCGCAACCCTCGGTGTTGCTCCCACACCTCGCTCAGCCAGTGAGCGGCCAGTCTGTATGTGGGGTCTGAACCCTTGGCGGGAGCGCCGCCGCGCTCCCAAGCAGCGCACTGTAGCAGTGCGCCACCGGGCCTAACCACTATCAGTATTTAAAGCTATCTCTACCAATGGTCATTCTGCAGTGATTAATGCTGGACCTGAACTGGAAAAGCCCATCTCTCTCACCACTACTTAAAAAAAAAAAAAAAAAAAGAGTTTGTAATATCCCAAGGAGAAATAAATATCTTTCTTTCCCATGAGTAATTTGTCTAACCTTGCCAGAGGATTTAGCAATGCTAAACAAATTATCTAAAACTTATAAAACCTCCAAGATTATATTTAGGTAATTGAGATAAAAACTGCTCTTCTGAGTATATGCAACTTAATCTACAGATATTATCTAAAATGCTCATTAAGCTCTTATATTGATAGTAGATAACTTAGAAAGGAAAATAAGAAAAGGATATCACAGCCCAGGGAAAACTGATAGATTCTGGCACTTATCAATTCTCTCTTCAACCTAGGTGGAGCTAGTGACTACATAATATTAATTGGTTTTAAGATCCAAATGTAACACTATATTAGGTCACATTTCTTAGCCATGAATATTTGGATTTAAAATGTTATACACTTAAATATTGCACATCCGTAGATTCAATCATCTATAAATATCAGTTTATCGGCCTAGATTTTTAAAAGTTGTAGTAGGAAACAAATATAGTCTAGACAAGTTACAAGTTAATATAATGTGCAATTGTATTTTTTCTTTTCAGTTTAGAGATGAAATAGAATTTATGTGGCGATTTGCTCGTGCTTATGGAGACATGTATGAATTATCTACAGATGCAAAAGAAAAAAAACATTATGCTAATATTGGTAAGTATTTTCTAAAGATTGATTATTTGCAAGTGGCAATTGTGACCTATAATAAACCACTAGTGAAATTTTAATTAAAGCTATATTATCTTAGCTAAAACCAATATGTTTAACCTATTGCAGTATATCCCAGTATCAAAAAAAAAAAAAAAAGTCTCAGATTTTTTAGGAGTAAAGTAAATGTTCTTTAAAAATATTTGAGTAGAAACGGAAAAAACGCAAATTTTGTCTTTTAAAGTTTATAAAATCACATAAAGATAAGACATTAAGTGGTAGTGTTTGAGAAACAATAACAGGCAGAGGATGATTGTCCTTAGTATACCACAATTAGAGTAACACACCTTACCTCCTCTAATGTAAAACTTCAGGTACCACAAAGTAATAATCTCTTAGACTTTATTTGATATGTTTATTTCAACGTGTATCTTGATGAAACAAAATTAACCGTGGGTTGATAACTGTTTAAGATGAATGATGAGTACATGGTGGTTCATTATATTATCATCTATACTTTTTAATATATTTTTGGAATTTTCCATAACAGCAACAATAACAAAATAGCAAGAATGTCAAATTGTTGTTTTTATATCTCACCTTGTCTCTCACTGAATGTCAAAGTGCTTTCTTGCAAAGACCCCTATCTGTCATTTTTCTGAGCGTCAGCATAGTAATTTGACATCAACACCCCTGTAATTCTTCTGTTATTCCAAAGTCTTCCCTTTTCCAGGCTTTTCTTCTCTAAGATAGCATGAGGAAGAACCAGCAAAAAAGATCTCCCAGTCTAGTTCCCTGTCAGTTTTACTTCCAAGAGGGAAGTATTACCAAACTGCTTGTAATTATATTTTCTTTGGACATTTGTTTGCTGGATGACTCTGCACTTTGGTTTTCCCCCAGTGGGACGAGGATGAGAAGACTCCTTTCCCCCACCCCACCCTGTTTCTTACATATTCATCATCAGCTTTGTGGGGCAGTTTTTCAGTAGCCATCCAGTTTGCAGGCCATAAGCAAAACAGAATTCTAGAGAAGAGGTTTATTAACTTCAAGGTAAATAAAAATTTAATCAAAGAGAACAAAGGGATTTATTTTCATATCTACTGAGAAAATCAGTGTTTGTCTATGTAAATTATTCCAACATTCATCAATATTAAATACATTTCTTTCTTAAGCATCTGCCCTACCCTAGGCATTATGTTAGCAGACAGGAATAGGATAGCAAAATAGACATGTTCTAAGACTGCAAGGGAGCTTATGTCTTTGTGGGGGAGGCAGTATTATTCAAATAATCATACGCATAATCATATAAAGAAACAAACTGAAATAAGCTGTTATTAAAGAATAGTACGGGTGTTAAGAGAGTATAAAGAAAGAAGGATGTGATGGCAGGGTGGAGGTGGATTCAGGGAAGTTTTTCTTATGGAAGTAAGTTTCCCGTAGGTAAACTCGCTTTGGATCTCTATTTTAAAATGGAGTGGGAATTTAGTTGAGTTAAAGTATGAGATGGCAAAAATGGAAAAGAAATAGCCTGGAGGAAATTCAGGTGCAAGAATGGAGCATAGGATTGAAATAGGATATATCCAAAAAAAGAGAAAAGATTATAATGCCAAAGAAAAAGGAGCAGAGCCTCAGATGTGTTTATTCAGGTATTGCAATAAATTAAAAGTAATTTTTAAAATTTACTCATTTAAGAAATATTTATTCAAAATTACTATGTCCAGGAATAATGTTAACATGAGGGGTGGAGGGAGGAAAAGGAGGGGAAGAAGAAAGGATACAAATATGATTAAGAAGGTGCTACACTATTAACTTACTCTATAGAAAAGATAGTAAGGAGACAGCGCGTTAGAATTCACTGGGTAAGGAGTAAGTGCTAGTAAAGGTAATGACCAAGTACTCCAGAGCTGAGAGCAAGGCAAGGATTCAGATCAGCTGTTTAAGAATGTTGGAATTCAGCATAAGGGAAGGAGAAGTGCCGAAGGTTTTTTCTCATAAGAGTATATTTGGAATTGTTTATGCTAAAGAAAGATTTGATCACTGGAAAGTGCAGAATTCTTTCATAAAACACAGTGAGCCTACCATTATTCAGTAAATTTTTTGGAATACTATGATTGATCATAACTTGTATTCCAAATAAAATATGAATTTTATATTTAAAGAAGCATTATTATAATTTTCATAATTAAGTGATTAATGTCAATACCTCAAAAAGATCAAAAAATACAATTCTATAAGGAAATAGCTTTCCTTTTGGGCTTCAGCTACATAAGTGAGACTGCAAAACCAGTCTGCATCCTACCCAACTTCCTTTTACATTCTCAGGGTGATGGAATCACCTCTGTTTTAGGCCTGTGTACTTCACTGAGAGTTTTGTTCATTAGACAGTGCAGCTAATATGTTGACTTAGTTTTTAATGTTTTTACATTGAACGTATGTTTTTAACCTTTCATTTAAAAATTACTAACTCCTTTAATATTTATCCACAAAGTAATATTAGTTATTACTAAAATATTTCACTTTTTAATTTTTTTCCAATATATGTAGATTTCTACACCAGATAGTGCCCTTAATGGGTAAAATTATATAGTGCTACCTTAATGAATTAAGAAATACAATGATTTTAGAATAAAAGATCCTTATTTATAAAGATAATCTTAACCACTTATTTAGAAAGGCATTTTGTATGTTGTTGGATAGTCTCTTCAAGGTAAAATAATATTAATAATAATAATGAAGCAGGGAAAAAAGAAGATATAAAACAAAATGGTCCCTTCTGAGAAAGATTCTCAGAATCTAGTCCTGTTTTGTTGCAAGCATTTTGATTTTTCAAGCCATTAGCCAAACATCTATCCGAAGTAATTATTACATTATTAAAAGTTACTCTAAAACTAAGTAAAATAATTTGGGGGAATTATTTATGGCACTGAGCCTGTTCATTATTATGATTAGGTGAGAACTTCTCAGGGGAGCTCTCCCTTACACCTGTAGACAGCTACTCACTCTGCTGTGATCTCTTTCTACCTTGCTCTTAAGTTTTGCATGTGCTTTGTTTATATACCTGCTACCTATTGAACTGTTAGCCTTTGGAGGTCAAGGACTGTCTTATTTGGTATTTTATTCCTAGATGTTCACTCAATATGGTAGTAGGCACTCAGTAAAAGTTTGAATCAATTACAAAAACCATTTCTCTTACGTTTTTAAGTAATGATTGAATGACTTTTCTTGCATTTGATTAAATCAGTGGGTTTCAAACTTGATCATACCTCAGAATCATTGGAGACTCATTAAAACAAAGGTTGCTGGGCCCCAACCCTATAGTTTGTGATTGAGTAGGTTTCCAATGTGGCTGAAAATTTGCTTTTCGAACCAGTTTTCAGGTGATGCTGATGGTTTTGGTATTGGTACCATATTTTAGGAACCACTGACTTAATTCAATAATTCACCTCTTACCAACTCACATGAAGATACTAAGTATAAGTACATTTATCTTTCAGGAAAAACTTTAGGTGAAAGAGCTATTAGTAGAGCACCCATGAATGGACATTGTCACCTGTGGTAAGTATATAGGATTTATGCACTTTAAAATTCTAATATGCCTCTTTGTAAAGTATAATGGGGTTTAAAAAATATTATTGACCCATTTAACCTGTCAGTCACATTCCCTGAAACATATATTTAGTAGATGGCACAATAATTGTTCTTGTTCTGCTTATTTTCATGTATTTTTCCTTATGCATATTTTAAATATATTTAAGGTATACTTTCGTTGAAGATTTCATATATGAATCTACCAAGTCTAATGGCTTTGAAGATGATAAATTTTAATTAAATCTAGTTTAATATATATTTTGTTTGAGAACAAATACTAAAATGATGCCATGTTTCAAAAGGAAATGTAGAATGTATGTTAGTCAGTTCTCTGTGGCATATAAAGGAATACCCGAAACTAGGTAATTTGTAAGGAAACAAAATTTATGTCTTACAATTTTGGAGGCTGGGAAGTCCAAAGTTGAGGTATGCATCTGGTGAGGGCCTTCTTCTTGGTGGGGAGTCTCTACAGAGACCCACAGTGACCCAGGGTGTCACATAGCGAGGAGGGGAAAGAGCACTTTTATGTGCTCACTTGCTTTCCTTATAAAGCCACCAGTCCATATCTCTGATAACCCATTAAGTTATTAACCCATTACTCCATGAATGGATTCATCCATACATGAGAGTGTAGTTCTCCCTATCTGATTACCTCTTAGAGGGCCCACCTTTCAAATACCATATTGGAAATTAAGTTTCAACCTGAGCTTTAGAGGGGACAAACAATCAACTCATAGCAGAATGCTTCAAAGAATAAAAGCACATCAGCCATTTCCTATACCTTGATAAGTCATGGAATACAAATCCCACAGGTCAAGGAAAAGTCATTTATAATGTAAGAAAGCTCAAACAAAGGGAATTTAATTAGTTAGATAGGTAGGTATAGGTGAATGTTCTTGGGGCAAAAAAAGTTATTCTTGATTATGTTTTGTTCTGGACCCTTTGTGTGTTTAGAATTATAAAACATAAATAAGAAATATATTGTTTTTAATTATTATTCTTTCTTCTACTTATAGGTGCATTTACAACATTTTGTTTTTCCTTAAGGGTTTTTTTACCCCCTTAATGCAGGTGCCTCAGATGCTAGGGAGATAGAATAATAATTTATGATTCTTTCCTCATCCTTAGGTTTCCAGAAATTCACCTCTCTTTGGGGTTATTTTATTCCCCTAGGGACACACTTAGGCAAAATCTCTCTCAAAACAGCTCCCTTTCCACAGATCTACATTTGTCCCACAGAAAACTCATTTTTGCTTTACAAAACTCTGAAGTACCATTTTTCCAATACAAACTTGTTTCTTTATTCTGCTATCAGCAGGAGCTCTGCTCACATGCTCTCACTTAAAACTTCCTTGGCAGGGGTCAGGTACCATTTTAAATGTACTCGTTTTATAGGTACCCCAAACTGTAAGGCACACATGCCAAAATGTAAATGGTTTTTTTTTTTTTTTTTTTTTTTTTTTTTTTTTTTTTTTTTCTT